CGCCAGCTCCCTTGCCCCTTGAGTGGGATAGCTGACGTGTGTAGTGAGCCATTTCTTATTTTTGGGAGCCAGGATTAAGCCCCGTGGCCAAGGTGATTGCTCCATTGATAACACACCCTTGTTGCCTCATTCGCTTCTCTACTCACTAATAGTGTTTCCTGATATTAATCACCATCATAATAAACCTCATCCACTTAAGTCCTCCTTTCTGCGAGTTCTTCTGGGGAAACCCAAACTAACACTGGGCTTGGCCCAAAGTAGGTGCTAAGTAAATATTGGCTCAATGAATGCATGAAACAATAAGTGTGTATTGAGTGAGTGGGTGGGTGAATGAATATTTGTGTGTAATTCTTTCTCCATAAGGAGACTATATGCTCCCGGTAGGCAGAGACCACCTGGCTCATCTTTGTGTGCCTGCTTCATAGTGTGTCTGACTCGTTCCAACAGTTCAGTAAAGGTTGCTTGGAATTAAATGACCTCAAAACAGCAGTTGGTAGAAGGAGAAAGTGGCCACATCATCACCAGGTTTTAATGAGGTGGAGGTGAGATTTCTTTGAGCCGTTGTAACAAAGAACTTTAAAAGGGCGGGAGGAGTGGCAATGGCATCTACTTGTTAAGAATAAAAATAACTTTTCCTTATGAGAAAATGCTGAGGGTAGAGTAGAAAACACCAAGGGAGAACCTGGAGTGTGCGATGAGCCAGGTCATATTTCAGGTGACACATCTTCTCATAACACAACATAATGTGAAGCCCTTAATGGGTTATCCACTTACTTTATTTATATTATCGATTCCTTTCTGACAACTTTCAGAGCTTCACTACCAGCCACTGTTGTTACCTGATCCTGCTAACATAGTGGTTCTAAAAGCTGCCGTAACGGAGGTCCCTGCTTGCCCTCATGCCCAGTGTCCTATTTTCTGTCATTTTTGCTGTTGGCTTTGTAGATGAGGGTTGTTGTTTTTTCTGGCATACAAGGAACCAGATTTGTTTTGAAGCTTTCTTTGTGAAGCTAAGGATGTGTGTGTGTGTGCACGTAAATTACTGCTGTACGTGCATGGGTTGAGAGGGTAGGGACCCATTATGTATCAGTGCCACGTAAGGGCAAAGACTTTTACAATCAGATCTATTGCAGGGGTCCATATTCCAAGACATCTCTAATTTAAATGAGATAATATATGTGGAAGCTCTTAGCAAAGTACGTAAAACACAACAGCTGCTCAATAAAAATGCGAGCCAAATTCAGATCCGAATGACTGCACCTTTTATTTATCCCTGCTGCTGCTTCCCTCTGTTGATATGAATGATGAGAGTGGTTTTTAATTTTTAGAGCTTTATGTTCCAATAGTGATTTGCTTATTTCTAAAGCTATTTCTCTGTATTATAAAGTGTATTTCTTTGCTGTAGTACATACAAATGCAGAAGTCTAGTTTTGTAGGGTGAACTTAGTTTAACTCAATATATAAATTAGGAAATGGGCTCAATTCTTTGGGAAAAGTTACACATTTTTCTATCTTGTTTTTAATAATTAAAATATTTCCAAATATAAACAATGGAGAGTTCAAAGGAAATCAGAATATAATTACTCTTGAAAGTAGATTATTGTTTTGAGAATTTATGTGGAGAAAATGTTATTGAGGCTAAATAGTGCATGTCAAGCCCAACCTACGAGTCTGGGAGACCCCAAATATCCCAGAAGCAACTCAGCTCCCTTTTCCCTGCCCTGCTCCCTAAGCCAGGGTGATACCCCAGAGCACTAGGGCACTGCAGCTCATGAAATCCCTTGTGATTTGAGGGCCTGAGCCTTTCCCTGTTGAGGGGTTTCCTTCCATTCACTGGCAGCCAAGCAGAGCCCTGCCTGCCCCGATGTCTTGCATCAGCTCTTAAGTCCCTTGGCTTGAAGCCTGTAGATTACAGTGGATCCTGGGAAGGGTGACACATTGAGGTCCATCCTATATTAAGTTTATCTTTCCTAAGGAGAGAGATGAATGAAGAGAGGGGGAGTGATTACGTAAGTGGTTGATGGTCTCAGAATTCACTGACAGATTTGCCAAGGCCAGACGTACACCCATATTGTCCTTGGCCTTGTCTGTGAGGAACTGCTGCCCCCACTGAAGCCACAGTGAGTGGCAGCCTCCTGTCTACTACTTTTAGGCATGGTGATATAAACTAGGTTTAGACACCAGAGGGCAGGAATGAACAGGAGGCAAGTGGAGTGGCCCATAGCAAGAATGCTGGAGCTGGGCCAACGGGCAGAGAAGTAACTGGTTGTGTGAGCACTTATCCCTAAACCTGCCGTGTCCCTCTCTGCACAGAGCTGCACGGCCAGCACAGTCAGACCCCTGACCTGTCTAACTGTTTGGTAGAGCCTTTTCAGCTACATTTTAACCCATTCCATTCTTCATTTATTAAAGGCTTCAGTTGGAATGAGCCAGGCCCAAAGATTTACCTTTGGAGAAGAGAGATGAAGTCCTGGTAAGACTTCCTAGGTCTATGTGAACTGCTTGTTGAGGCTGAGCTGTCTCTGTCCACTTGTGGTTGATATTTCCAGAAATGACTGAAGTCTTTTCTTCGCATTTGGAAGTGTAACTGTCCGTCTGTGGTCTCACGTCGGGATTGAAAAGCCAAGCATTTCTGCTGCTTCTCGTTTCTCTAGGTCACTTTTCTGTTGCAAAGCCATTTTGCTCATCAGGTGGTATGCGTCTCCATCCATTGTCTTACCTTGCTTAGCAGAATGTCTGTGCAATGCTAATGCCAGCGCCTTACAGACTGTGTATAGCATTGTCTAGTTTCAAAGCATTTTTAAATATTTTATCTCATTATGTAATGTCATCCTGGGCTGTTGCTTTTCCCCTGAGAGTATTTCCTCAGCATTTGCACCAACTTGAGTACTTTTCTTTCTTCTCCTGTCAATTTTGAGTCTGCTATACAGGGCTTGCTCCCCCCACCCCTTTCATATTATTTCCTACAGGGCTATAAGTGGCAAAGAAAGGCATATCTAAATGGTACTATTTTCTGATGGTAAAGTGAAGATAACCTAAATGCTCTTTATAAGTCATCCGTGAGAATTATGTCCCGGTTCCTTGGGAATATACTATGAGTAGAAGTACTAAAAACAATTTATCTTCATGATTATACCTACTCCGTTTTTCTAAATTGGCAAAATAGCTCCTAGAAATGGGGGGGAACTGTGCAAGTTAGATCCATACTGTGTTTTTGTGTGCTTGCTTTGTTTTTATTTTGTTTTGCTTATTGTTTTTGTACTAACATTATTCATGCCCCAGTGGAGAAATAGGAATTGTATTAGCACCTTTTTTTTTCTTTCTTGGACTTGTATGGTTGTACAGAATATCACTTTTGAAATAGAAGGTGCTTTAGGTTAAAGCTTGTAAGATGGTTCTGGAACTGTGTCTCAAAGTTTTTCTTAAGAGCATTCTGGAAACTCCTTTAAGGTTCACCAAGGCAGACCAAGTTGTTTCCTGAACTCAGTTCTCATTGCTCTCACATCCCATTTCATGGCTCCATCATTCTATCCCCAGATGCTGGGTGCACCACAGATGCCTAGATTACTACTATGTCCTATGGTTTGTATCGTAGTAATACAAACCACAGGACATCGAGGTTGAAAGAGACCGAGCAGGTTGCTGTAAGCTTATCTGATCTTTGCATTCCCTCCGTACCATTCTCAAGTGTCCAATGAGCCTCGGCCCATTCCATCCTAAGGCACTGGAAAAGTATCCCTTTTGTTGATCCCAAATCCTCCCTGTAGCTTCTGTACAATTCAGAAGACATCAAGTGCCTATCATGTACCTGGCACTGTTCTAGGGGCTGGAGATACAGAAGTAAAGAGACATGGATAACTCATGGATAGCTCTACTGCTTGGGGTCATAGAAGACAAGCCAAATAGTTCTTATCCATGGACACCCTACAGACTGCACTCCTGTTCCTCTGAGTCCTCACTTGAAGCTAATATTCCCATCTATCCAGTGTAATACAGTTCACATTCTTTTGCCATATGGATCAACTGTCTTTGGATGACTTCTAGTTTGAATATTTTTGTTTGTTTTGTTAATACTCCCCTGAGGATATTTTTCCATTGATTTTTAGAGAGAGTGGAAGAGAGAGGGAAAGACAGAGAGAAACATCATGTGAGAGAAACACATCGATTGGTTGCTTCCTGCATAAGCCCTGACCAGGGCCCAGGCCGGGGAGGAGCCTGCAACCAAGGTATGTGCCCTTGACTGGAATCGAACCCAGGACCCTTTGGTGTGCAGGCCAATGCTCTATCCACTGAGAAAAACTGGCCAGGGATGAATATTGAATTGATTTTTAGTAGGTTGATTTTTTAGAGTCTTTTTTTTTGTTATAAAGGTAATATGCACTTGGAGACATTTTAGAAAATATAGATAAGTTTAAATAGGAAATCACTTGCAATCCCTTTACCCACTGTTAAAGTGTTGCTATATTTTCTTTCAGCTTTTACTAACTTGTATTTATAATTTTGTTCCCTGTTTTCTTTACTTACCATTGGCATTTTTGCATTCATTATATTCATAAAAATTATTTAAATGCTTACATATTTCAGATAGACTTTTAATGGTTAAGTCATAAAAGAGTAGTAAGGATCCCTTATGTGAGCTATCATGCTTCCTTTTCCTTAAGCCCCCAGTCTCCTAAGCCACTGTCTTCGAGGACTACTAGTACCATATGGAAGGAAGGTGCAGGGCTATACTACCTCCTTGTGGATTCTCCTAATGTGGATTTTTCTTGATACACTGCATCTTTTTTCTGTTCGTTCTTTTGTGCTTCCTCATAATCATGCTCTGCCCATTTGTTTGGAGTATTGAGTTGACTGTAGCTTTCTTGTTACAACAGGATATTCAAGTGCCATTTCCAAGGTTATCTTCCTGCTGGGTTCAGTCTTGAGGAGTCTGTTGGAGCCAGTTCTGGTGGGACTAGACAACGGTAAGCCCAGGGCTCACTTTTCTCCTTCAATTGCAGGCCTACAGCTGAACCAGAAGGCACTCACCACTTTCCCGGATGTGGTGCTTGTTCGGGTGTCCACACCCTCGCTGCAGTCGGACAGTGACATCACCGTCCTGCGACACCTGGAGAAGTTGGGCTGCCGCCTAGTCAATCGCTCGCAGAGTATTTTAAACTGCATCAACAAGTTCTGGACATTCCAAGAGCTGGCCGGACATGGGGTCCCCATGCCAGACACCTTCTCCTATGGTGAGTGTCCTTGAAATAAGGTTGCAGTTTATCTTTCCCAGTTGCATCTCTGTGTTTTCTCTCCCCAGTAGCCCTCGACTGTTGGTTTTCAGTACGGAGCTGTTCATCTTAGATGATTCAACAACGTGAGTCTATCATGGTCATTCCCTCTGTCTGAAATGCCTTTGCTTCTTTCTGTCTGTAATTCACTCATTAAATATGTATCTGGCACACACTATGTGCCAACCACCATACTAGCACTGGACTATAGCGGTAAGTACCAGTCAGAGTCCTGCCCTCAAGTCATTGCCAGGTCTTCAGGGGCAGAGACAGCAAGTAAACAAGCAAGTGCAGTGCAGTGTAGTAAGTGCCATGATAAGAGTTAGTGCACGGTGGTGAGGGAATCCGTAGGAGAATTCTTAGTGAGTTTAGAAGATATTGAGGAAGGTTTCCCAAAAGAAATAGTATCTAAACTAAGCTGAAGTTATCCAGGTAAAGTGTGGGAGTGTGTGTGTGTGTGTGGGGGGGGGGGGGTGGAGACAGGGAAGGACTCTAAGCCAAGAGAAGAATATAGAAAGACCTATAGGCAAGAGAGAGCTTGACCAATTGGTGGTATTTTGAGTAGTTTGTAGGATGTAAGGGAGACTGAGTTGAGATATAAGGCTAGAAAGATAAGTAGCCATATACGGTATGTGAAGGAGATTGGATCTAATCTTGAGACTAACCAAAAGTTATTGGGCTTTAAGCAAGAAGGTGGCCTGATCAGAGTTCAGAAGATCACTTTGGCTACTCTAGGAAAAAGGAATTAGGCAAAGTTATGTAGTAGCAGGGTTTTTAAACCATTCAAAAGAGCAATGGTGGTCTAAACAAAAGTGGCCATAGTAAGAATGAAGATAAGTCAACAGAATCAGGAATTATGAAGGAGAAAGCAATAATAGGACATGGTGATTGGTTGGGTAAGAGGAGTATAGAGAGGAATCAAGAGTGACTGGTTTCTGGTTTGGGCAACCAGATGTGATAGCAAACACTGAGACTAGAGACATAGGAGAGAAGACACTGATTGGTAGGTAGGAGGTGAGAGGTTGTGGGGAGAGCTGATTTCAGTTTGGGACGTGTTCTGTTTGAGCTGTCTATAGTACATGCAAGTAAAAATATTCAGTGGGCAGCAGAAAATGGATCTGGAGCTCCTGAGAGAGGTGTAGACTGGGGATGTGGAATTGGAAGCCTTTATTATATTAAGTGAAGTCACAAGATTGGATGGGATTACTCAGGCGGACTCTGTAGAACGAAGAGAGCTGAACTGTACACCTAAAATGGTTAAAAAGATAACTTTTATTTTATGTATATTTTACCACAATAAAAACACACACACAAATGTAATAAAAGAAGGTTCAAGAGGGACTCCTTTAGGGAATGGGTAAAGGAAGAGGAACCTGTACAAGAGACTAAGCAGGAGAAGCTGGAAAGGTGAGACGAGAAAGAGAGATGACAGAAGCCAGTGGGAAGAGCAGTCCAGGAAGGCTGGCATAATGAAAAGTGTTGATTGATCGGTCTGAAGGACAAGTAAGGTAAGCACTGAGATGTGTGTTGGATTTAGCAACAGGGAGTTTGATGAACACAGCTTCAGTTTAATGATGGGGAGAGAAGCCAAATTGTCAGGGACGAGGAAATGAATGGGAAGTGAGGAAATGGAAACCCTCTCAAATAGCTTAATTGTAGGGATATGAAGTCGCAGGTAAGGAATGAGGCAGGGTCAGGAACAGGGGTTTTATTTGTTTAGGATGGGAGAGAACTGAGCATGTTTAAAATGGTGATGGGATTAAGAACTGGGAGGTTGAAGATACAGTAGAGAGGAGACACTTCATTGTGCAAGATCCCTGAGAAGGTGAGAGGGAAAGGGGTCCAAAGCATAGGTGCAGCCCGGCTGGCGTGGCTCAGTGGTTGAGCATCAACCTATGAAACAGGAGGTCATGGTTCGATTCCCGGTCAGGGCACATGCCTGAGTTGTGGGCTCGATCCCCATTAGGGGACATGCAGGAGGCAGCCAATCAATGATTCTCTCTCATCATTGATGTTTCTATCTATCTCTCCCTCTCCTTTCCTCTCTGAAATCAATAAAATTATAAAAAATATTTTTAAAAAGCACAGGTTTAGGGATGGCCTGAGAGAAGGATCCCTCTTTCACTGTGTTAGAAGGGAGGAAAGAGGATAGCTCTTATCAGCAGGTGTCAGGAAGTTGGGAGTTACCTTCTTATAAAACATCCTCTTCTGAAGACGTCCCTAATTATCAACAATGCCTCTTCATTTAAAACAATTATTAGCACTTTTGTGAACAAAACAGGTATTAATATTCCAATTTGCAAAAATTGCTGAACTGCAATAGCACCTGTGGTAGGCAGAATAGTGATCTCAAAAAGATGCCAATGTGTCCCTGGCCGGTATGACTCAGTTGATTGAGCCCCATCCCATGCCCAGGCTGTGGGCTGGATCCCCAGTAGGGAGCATGCAGGAGGCAGCCAATCAATGTTTCTCTCTCACATTGATGTTTCTCGCTCTCCCTCTCCCTTCCTGTCTCTCTAAAATCAATAAAAACATACTTTTTAAAAAAGAAATGTAAATATGTAGGTAATCAATCAAGTTTGTAAACACAATTTAGAAAGGTTTTAATACCCACATTATTCATGTTTTTTTAAATTAAGAATTAAAGGATTATAGTAGAGCCAATTTAGGTTTTCAGGTCATGCCTGAACTTCGGATGAGACAAATCCCCAGGCTTGGTTTCTTTGGCTATTGATTTTCTACAGCTATATAACAAACTACTAAAAACTTAGCAGCTTAAAATAACACCCATTTATTTCCTCAGTTTCTGAAGGTCAGAAGTCCAGCCAAGCATTGCTGGGTTCTTTGCTCTGGTCTTTCCAGGCTGAAATCAAGGGGTAGCTGGCCTGTGATTTCACCAGAGGCCTGGAGTCTTCCAAACTCACTGGTTGTTGGCATTTATTTCCTTGCAGTTGCAGGGACTGAGGTCCCCACTTTCTTGCTGGCTATCAGCTGAGGGCCGTTTTCAGCTCCTAGAATTGCCCACTGTCGCCACCGCATGGCCTTCTCTACAACATGGAAGTTTGCTCCTTCGAGGCCAGCAGGAAAGTCTCTGACACTTCACATTCTTTTGAAGGGCTCACCTGATTAGGTCAGGCCCACCATGAATCATCCCACCTTGATTAACTCAAAGTAGTAGACCGAATCACAGGAATGATACCCCATCGTATTTACTGGTCCCTCCCACACTCAAGGGAGGGGATTGACAAGGCGTGTACACCAGCAGGTAGGAATCTTCCGAGCCATCTTAGAGGCTACCTCAGGCAGCCATTTTAAAGGAAAAAATACGCCCTAGCTGGTTTGGCTCAGTGGATAGAGCGTCTGCCTGTGGACTGAAGGGTCCCAGGTTCGATTCCAGTCAAGAGCATTTACCTTGATTGTGGGCACATCCCCAGTAGGGGGTGTGCAGGAGGCAGCTGATCAATGTTTCTCTCTCATCGATGTTTCTAACTCTCTATCCCTCTCCCTCCCTCTCTGTAAAAAAAAAAATGAATAAGATATATTTTAAAAATAAATAAATAAATAAATAAATAAATAAAAATAAAGGGAAAAATACCTGCCAGTCCTATGGGATTGTGATGAGGATTACACAAACAAGAGCATGGGAAACCTTTGCCTCATGGAAGGCTTTGATAAATACCTCTGTTCCCCTCTTATATTATAGGTGCACAGGGCAAGTGTGTTGGAGAGACAGGCGGCCTGGAAAGAATTCCCCCAGAGGGTGCTGCATTGGGCTGACCGCTCCCCGACCATCAGCCTTACCTTCACTGACTGTCACCTTTTCTTGGCAGGTGGGCATGAAGACTTTTCAAAAATGATTGATGAAGCTGAGCCCCTGGGCTACCCGGTCGTGGTGAAGAGCACACGAGGACACCAGGGTCAGTGCCGCTCCTGCACTTCCTGTAGGCCAAAGCGCTGCCACACAGGACCCTCCTTAGGCGGGAGTGGGAGCACCGCTGGGAGCAACTGAGCTCCCCCTTGAGGAGCTTGCAGTGTAGTCCTTACCTCTGTCCCCTCCTCTCTGTCCCCACCCTTCCCCGGATGATGGTCACAGGCCCTTGACCTGACTCTGGTTTCCCTAACTCCACTGCCAGTTCATCCTCTGTTCTTTCTGGAGAGTCATTCTCTGAAACAGATCTATTCTTGTCATTCTCTGTTGAAAAACCCTCTCGAGAGCCTGTGCTGCCTCCTAGACAAAGTCCATTTTCCTGCTCATGGCACTGAAGCCCTGGACAAAGAGCCTCACCTCCCTTTGCAGCTTCTCTGGCCACGGGACCCTCCCACATCCATTCCGGACTACTTCTCATTCACCCACGACACGTATTTTCCTCTTGGAAACCTCTGCTGGGAATGCCATCTTCCTCTGTCCTCTGGTGAACTTCTGCTCATCCTTTAAGGCCGGCTTCACCTGTCATTTTTTTCTCTCCACATCTCTGGCCTCCCTCCCGCCCTTCCAAAAATTAATTGCCCTTCCCTTTGTGTTCCCATAGCACTTTGTCCATGATTCTAGCTCTGTACTACACTTGATGACAGTTATAGGTTATATGCCCTTTTCCCCCTTCTTTGTGAGTTACTCAGGTCCCATGAATCTCTGTCTCTGTAAGACCTACTGTGTGCTCAGTAGGAGTCAGTAAATGTTGAAGAGGGTGGATGCAGCAGAAAGCAATCCTCCTGCAGTATGTGAGTGGGTACCCAGATGGCATACATAAATGCCCAGGGCATCTGGAGTGAGAGGGGGTGTCCCAAACAGACACGTAATGAGCAATTCCTGTGATGCAGGGACCGTGCAGTAGAAATAAACTAGACACAGTCACCTCTCTTAAGGATCGCCAATGTGAAGAGTGTAGGGAGTTGCGTTGCAGGGCACAGGGTACGCTGCTGCAGCATGCATATCCAGGCACCTGTTGAGCTTGAGCTGAACAGAGGGAGGGCCAACTCTGCCAAGAGGCAGTGAAAGCTTCATTGGAATAAAAGGAGACTTAGGTTGACATGTGGAATGTGACCTGGAGGAAGTGAGCTGAGCAAACAAACAGAAGCAGGTGTGAGCAAAGCAACCTGTGAGTCTAGAGGGGGCCTGTTGAGGAGCAAGAAAAATGAGTGTGGGTGGCAAGGTGGGGCTCCTGATACCACTCAGACATGGTACAGAGCTAAAATGCAATGTCTCTCAACTAGTTGTTTTCGTCAATCATATATGATTCAAATATGAGTCATATTTGAATTATTTATTCCAATACTGCCGGTAGTATAGGAAAGCACCAGGTCATCCACAAAAAAATCTGTTCTGCAGCTCCCCATAAGCCAGCTGTTTATATAAAGTATTACAAAGATTACACGGGGAAATATGGATTATAGGTATGGGGAAGTAGGGATTACAGGCATGAGGAAGTTGGAGGTTGAGGTGGGATTCCATTGTTTTGGCAACAAGATTGTTAATCTTTCCATGTGAATGGACTGCATTCCAAGGTTGACTCCCAGGTCCAAGGTTGACTCCCAGGTCCCAGGGCCATATAACTCCCAGCCAGGTCAGAATTTAACCAACACAAGGCAATCATGGTTAACAGAGCATGATTAATATTTCCCATAACCATAGTTAGTCCCCAATATTCTATTCTTGTCCCTAACATTTCCCCACTGCTATTTCTATTATCTCACATCTATGAGATTAGTTTTAGATGAAAAGTCTCCTCCTGCTGGACTGCATCTGCTTCTGCCTTGAAAGCAGTTCCCAGAGATGGAATACACCAAATGCAGGATCATGGATATATGTTCTTATCAACTGAGAATTGTCAGAAAGATTAAAACAGCACATTCCTTTAAATTCTTCACAACCATGGTTATGCTGCAACAGCAAGTAATCTATTGCTGCCTGATTTTCTAGAACTGCCTCCCTGACCTGGCTCAGCTGTTGATTTATCCCATGGATAGCCCTGGAGGTGGCTTTAGGGCTTTTACCGTGCTACAAGCCTGCCGGGTCACTTCTACATTAAGGGAGCCTACCTTTTACCAGCGTAACAGAAATGGTCAAAGCAATATAGTCAACAGGCTCCACAAGTGGAGATCGTCATTGCCGTCCGGTGCCACGGCCTTGAGAAAGCCTCTTGTGGTTCAGACCCTGTGATGTTTCTGAGGCATAAAGACAGTCAGTCATCCTAAGGAACAGGACCCCATTGCTGTTAGCAGGGATAAATAGTTACCCCACATATCAGAAACCAACCAGCCAGCAGCTTAGTATGTCCAGTACTATAAGGGGATTATCAGGATAATTATCAGAATAATTCATATAGTTATTAGCTGCTGAAAGATAACAACTAGAACACCCAGTAACAGTCAGACATTTGCCACAGGGAACTACTGCAGTAACCTTTAGAGGAAGCATCACTGCATCGTTTTTCCAACATACAAAGATCCCTGTATATGACTTCCCAAAAGGAATGGAATAGTTCTTTAAATTAGCAATAGGTGTCCCAACTCCTGCTCAGCAAATGTAAAGGTCAGTTCTATACAGGGTCCTCCATTGCCAGCTTCAGAGCAGTCGGGTGGTGAGAAGCACATCTCAGTCCCATCCATTTCTCCTCCAGTTGGCCCACCGTCCTTGCTCTGCTCACGTCTGTCTAACTGCCTATCACATCCCCCCTCAAGGATCTTGGCTCTGAATTCTCTCACAGAAAAAGGGGTGCAGGGTCTCTTCTGCAACTGCTTCATGCTGAGGAGGGATGAAGTTTTCCCTTCAGAGCCAAGAGATCCTTGCTGTCTGTCAGAGGGACGATGCAGCCTGGCCACAGAAGGAGGTGACAATGGTGTCTAGAGGTGGTATTCCCTGAGTGCGAGTAGGGCTTGTAACCTGGTGGAGACAAACTGTGTCATAAAATTTAGTATTATTGGGCAAAAGTTAGAACAGCAAGAATATATAAATGATCTGGTGGAAGGAAAAACACATTTCAGTTCTAATAATTCCCAATTATTTTCTAATTCCCAATTTGAAACACAATTTCTTTCTCTCCCTAAAGTCACCCTCATTTTTATTAAAGAGCCAACTTAAGACCAATTTATTTACTGTATTAAGTCTAGTTACAATACGGCCTGATTGTTTGCATGAACACAATAAGAATAACATCAGCTAGTTGTTGTTTTTAATTGTGGTAATATATATAACATAAAATTCAACTATTTATTGAATGCCTACAAAGTGCCAGGCATTTCATATTTTAGGGGATACAGAAAGGAACAAAACAAAAGTTCCCGCCCTCAGGGAGCTCACGTTGTAGAAAGGTGTGACAGACAATGACAAGTTAAATAGAAGAATCCTGGCCAGGGAGCTCAGTTGGTTAGAGCGTGATGTGAGAGTGAACAGGGACTGAGCCTGCAACCTGGGCTTGTGCCCTGACTGGGAATTGAATCAGCAGCCTTTCGGTGCACAGGACTATGCCCAATCAATGGAGCCATACAAGCCAGGGCTACATAGTATTCTTAAACATTTGAAAAATTGAGATATAATTCACATAAAAATTTACTATTTTGAAGAGTACAGTTCAGTGGATTTTAGTGTATTCACTATTATATACAACCATTTCCATTATCTAATTTCAGGACATTTCCATCACCACAGAAAGAAAACCCATACCTATTAGGGGTCAATCCCAATTGCCCTTTCCCAGTCCTTGAGAACTAACCTACTTTCTGTTTTTATGGATTTGACTATTTTGGACATTTCATATCAGTAGAATCATATAATATGTTGCCTTTTGTGTCTGGCTCCTTTGACTTAGCATAACATTTTCAAGGGTCATCCATATTGCTTTTATGACTTAATATTCTGTTGTCAGAATATACTGCATTTCGTTTATCTGTTCATCAGTTGATGGACATTTGGATTGCGTCCATTTTGTAGCTACAGCTGCTATGAACATTTGTGGACAGGTCATAGTGTGAACATATGTTTAATGTCTCTTGAGTATATAACCAAGAGTGCAATTGCTGGTCATATGGTAATTCTATGTTTAGCTGTAGAGGAACTGCCAAACTGTTTTCCACATCAGTTTATGCCATTTTATACTCCCACCAGGACTGTACAAGGACTACAGTTTCTCTACATTCTCCCAACTGTTATATCATTCATTCATTTGTTCATTCATTTATTATTGATTTGTTTTATTATAGCCATCTTAGTGGGTATAATGTGGTTTCTTATTGTGGTTTTTATTTATGTTTCCCTAATGATATTGAACATCTTTTTATGTGCTTATTGGCCATTTGTATATCTTCTTTTTTTTATTATGTTTTTTTTTATTGTTTCCAGAGAGAGGAAGGGAGAGGGAGAGATAGAAACATCAATGATGAGAATCATTGACCAGCTACTTCCTGCACGCCCCCTACTGGGGATCCAGTCTGCAATCCTGGCATGTACCCTGATGGGGAATGGAACCAGTGACCTCTTGGTTCATAGGTCAACGCTCAACCACTGAACCACACCAGCCAGACACTATACCTTCTTAGGAGAAATGTCTATTCAGATCCTTTGCCCATTTTTCAATTGTATTATTTGCCTTTTTGTTGTTGAATTTTTAAGAGTTACTTATATACTCTGGCTATTATACCCTTATCAGACATATAATTTAAACATTTTTTTTCTACTCTTTAGGTTGTCTTTTCACTTTCTTCATAGTGTCCTTTGATGCACAAAAATTTTTGGTTTTGATGAAATTCAGTCTATTTTTTCCATTGGTTACTTGTGCTTTTGATGTCATTTTTTACTTGCCTAATCCAAAATCGCACAAATTTATGCCTATGTGTCCTAAGTGTTTTATTGTTGTAGCCCTTACATTTAGTTTTTTTTACCCATTTTGAGTTCAGTTTTATATATGGTGAAATGTAGGAGTTCAACTTCATTCTGTTGTGTGTGGATGTCCATTTTTCCCAGTATCATTTGTTGAATAAACTGTTCTTTCCCCATTGCGTGTTCTTGAAACTCTTGTCAAAAATCAATTGACCATCTGTGTGAGGGTCTATTCTGAGCTCTCAATTCTTTTACATTGATCTGTATGTCTATCTTTATAACAGGCCACATTGATTAATGTAACTTTATAATAAGGTTTAAAATTGGGAAATGTGAATCCTCCAACTTTGTCCTTCTTTTTCAAGATTGTGTTAGCTATTTGGGAACCCTTGCATATGAATTTAAGGATCACTTATCAATTTCTGCAGAAAAGGAAATTAGCATTTTGGTAGGAAATGCATTGAATCTGTAAATCAACCTGAAGTGTATTGCCATTTCAATAGTATGTCTTTCAGCCCTGGCTGGTTTGGCTCAGTGGATAGAGCGTCGGCCTGCGGACTGAAGGGTCCTGGGTTTGATTCTGGTCAAGGGCACATGCCCGGGTTTCAGGCTCGATCCCCATTAGGGGGTGTGCAGGAGGCAGCTGATCAATGATTCTCTCTCATCATTGGTGTTTCTCTCTCCCTCTCCTTTCCTCTCTGAAACCAATAAAAATGTATTTAAAAAAAAAGTATTTCAATCTCTGAAAGATGGGATGTCTTCAGAAATATTTTATAGTTTTCAGTGTATAAGTATTATACTTATTTTATGAAATGTATTCCTGAATGTGCTATTCCTTTCAATACTATTGTAAATAGAATTGTGTTCTTAATTTGATTTTCAGATTGCTCATTGCTAGTGTAGCAAGTAGTATCGTAGGGAAAATGAATAGGGAATAAACAAAGTCACAGCAATTTTTAGACTCTAGAATATGGAAATAAATTTAAAGAAGGCAGTGGACTGGTGTAGCCTTTGCCTTTTCAAAAGTGACTAATCTTATGGACCCTCATTTTCTTCATTTATAAAGCACAAATAGCTATCTTTGTCCTAATGGCTTCACAAGGCTAGTATGAAGGGTAAATGAAACAATAAAAAAAGTATTTGACACATCATAGATTATTAACTAATCTTAGTGCCCTTCCCTCACCTCTCATTTTTCCTCCTTGCCTTAAAACTGTAGCTCTTTTATTAACCGAAGTCTAAGCCAATGTTAGAACCTCTACGCCAGAAACCAAGGAACAAGTCTCTATCTCTAGCCCCATCTCTGCTAAAAATCCTACCTAAGGTCCAGAGAACCCCCAGTGCCTACAACTGAGTCCAAGCCTTCTGTTGCCAGGTGACAGATCTCTTGGTGCCAAATGTCCAGTGTTAGGAGACATATTTCCAATCTTTTACACGGCTAGAGGCTGATGCCCATCACTCTTTTTATGAAGACTTCAGAAAGATCCCACTCCTTTAGGACACAAATCTTAGGAAAACCATCCCGTATTTGCTAACAAGAATGCTCAGATTGGGTGTGCTCATGTCAGATCTGCAGAGCAAACCTATCAGGAACCCCTGTGAGATATATTAGCTGATATGCAAATGGAAAGCAGATGCCAGATAATTGCAAAAGCATTGGTCAGTCAGGCAGAAAATAAAGAATTTGGAGTCAAAAAGAAATGCTTTCCCAAGAGAAATAGAAATATAGATCATTCCTTTTAGAATTAATAGGTGTTGCCAAATAATAAATATTTCTTATATTTAAAAAGAGGAAGGATGTCTGTCAGTGATTCACTTTTTGAACTTTATTGTAGTTTTCATAGACCTCAGTGTAAATCATGCGGTATGATACTTACCTTTTTTGGATCTCCATCTATTTTAGAACTCTTCTAAAATATGTTCAATCAATTATGTTCTGCTTTGTGCATCAAGTTCAGTATGAAGTTTGGGGAATTTTTAAAACATGAGTTAGACATGGACCCTGCCTGATCCACAGCCTCAGGGTGATAAGAGATGCTAATAACTGTTATGGAACCGAGTTGACTTGATCCATAGGATTTTATTTTGACCCCTTCTCTGTATTTCTGGAATACGTTATTATTTCATTTTGATAAGAGTGGTGGTACAGAGAGACAGTCAACATTATTAAGACCTGAACAAAATCAAGAGAAAACAAAGTTCAATAGCCATTTGATAAGAAGCAAAAGTCTAGTCAGAGAAGTAGAGGAGACCAAAATGAGGCAAGTTCAGGAAGCATTGATGACTGTATCAGATGGGAGACGGGATGGCCAGGACAGGGTTCGGAGGCTCTTCTAATGCCTTCTCTTGTTGTCTTTCTTCTTAAAGGAAAAGCTGTTTTCCTTGCAAGAGACAAACATCACCTCTCAGACATCTGCCATCTGATCCGCCATGACGTGCCCTACCTGTTCCAGAAGTATGTGAAGGAGTCACATGGAAAAGATATCCGGGTGGTGGTGGTCGGGGGCCAGGTGATAGGCTCTATGCTTCGCTGCTCCACAGACGGACGGATGCAGAGCAACTGCTCTCTCGGTAAGTGTAAGGCCCAGAGTCTGTGTGTTGGTACAGGAGGTTTCCAGGAGTTTTCATTAGGATGTTTAGACCCATTTAGTAAGTGTGTACCTGTCCCTCCTATCTAGTCAGAGCCTGGCTAGGTGCCAGGATCAACAGCTAAGGATTAGAAACAAGCCCTTTCCTTTAGTAGCAAGCAGTCCAGCAGGGAGACAGATAGTGTAAGTGCTGTGACAGAGGTCAGGCCAGGGGTGTCCGAACACTGAGGTGTGAACCCTGTCCTATAGGTGTTAGGACTTAGCGGTCAGGTTTACACAGGAGTGACATGAGGATCCGTGTTTGAGAAACTGACATCTGGGTAGAGGATGAATTGAAGGCATAAGACAGGAGGCAAGGACGAGTGTGGAAGCTGCTGCAACAGCTCAGGCAAGAAATAGTGAGGGTCTAAACTAAGGCAATGATGTGATGCAGAGCAAATTCTGCTTTTCTATTACAGTTGAAAGTTGTGTTTTTCTTATATGTATGATGTTATTAAAAAGCTAGAGTTTATGTTTGGGCCAAATGCATCACTCCTCCCCGTGAACCTGTTTAATAAACCTTGTTTTCTGTAGTGGTGAATGAAGATGTCCCAGAAGGCTGTCAATTCTTGTCCCCAACACAGAAAGCTATTGTCCACCTCATTAAATGAATTTTCATGTTGGTAACATGAAAAAGTACCAAAAAAGGAAAATGTACCTACAGTTACTGTTTCCTGAATCGCCAGATGAGTGTCCCAAGTCTAATGACTAAGAAGGAGACCGAGACATTGATTTTGTCTGTCCTTCATTAATCCTGGCTGAGCAGTTTCCATGAGCGGACTTTGGTAGATATTGAGTGTGTAGTGATTAATGAGAGAATCCTTGCTTATGGTCCAGTAAAGGAGAAGACACATAAAGAGATCATTGTAAGATATTGTGATAAAGCGGGGTAATAGAAACAAATTCTAGGCTCAGGTTGACAAAGTACTAAGTACCTAACATATTATCTCATTTAATTTTCATGATAATCATGTGCAGTGCAACAGTATTGAACCTTATGTGTTATTGTTTTGTCTTTAAAAAAAAAAAATACGTTTTTATTGATTTTAGAGAGAAAGGTAGGGAGAGGGAGAGAAACATCAATCAGCTGCCTTTTGCACACCCACTGCTGAGGATTGAGCCTGCAACATGGGCATGTGCCATGACCGGGAATCACACTAGCGACCTTTTGGTGCATGGTATGATGCTCAGCCAACTGAGCCACACTGGCCAGGGCTGTTCTGTCTTTTTTAGTTTCTAATAAGGAACCGCATGGTTTTTTAATTTATCCACATTACTTTTCCTGCTAAGCTGTTTTTACAGCCTTTTCTTTATACAGTATAATAGGTGGGGAAAGGACAGTGTTAAGGTAAAGACATTAGTTATTGGACCTGAGAATACAAGTCATAAGTCTTTCCAGGGAGACTAAGGGAGACAATTAAATCTGAAGTTTTAGCTTTTTAACAAATAAGAGCAATCAGACTCTTTCTGTCCTTGATATAGGATTTGTCTCACAAGCCTCTCCATCTCTCTCTACTTAAAAAATAATAAATTCTGTTTTATTCTAATTATACAAGGAGTACATTCTCAATGTAGAAAGCCTGGAAAACATAGCAAAGTCAAATGAAAAGATATTTATCATTAATCTTACCGTCTAGAGACAACCAGTGTTAACATTTTGGTATTATTTCTTTTGATCTTTTTTTCCTAATAATATCGTTTTGCATGGTTATACTGCACAGTCTTTAATCCTACATATTTTTCTATGGGATCACAAACTCTCTGTGAGCATTATTAATGGTTGTAACATACGTTGTTTTCCTCTATTGTGAGCTACTTAGATTATAATTTTTCATTTATTCATCAACAAACATTTCTTATTGAGTACCTTCTATGTTCCAGGCACAATGATTTTTTGGTGTGTTTAAATAACTCTGACATCAACATCTGCCTGCATCAAGCCTTTTCTCTGTTACATAAGATTATTTCCTAAGTAGTGGAATGACTGGGTCACAGGGTATAAGCATTTTAAGACTCTAGATAAGAAATGACCACATTGTTTTCCTGATGTCCTTCCAGACCTTTTGTGAATAATGAAAATGCCCGCTCGCTGTCCTTCCTCAGCACTCCCCTTCTCTTCCTCCTCGAAGGGTCATTTGACTTGCTAGTCAGTGTCTGATGTCATCGTTACATCACTATGCTTTCCCCACAGGTGGTGTGGGTGTCATGTGCCCGTTGACAGAGCAAGGCAAGCAGTTGGCTATTCAGGTCTCCAATATCCTGGGCATGGACTTCTGTGGCATTGATCTCCTCATCATGGACGATGGCTCCTTTGTGGTGTGTGAGGCAAACGCCAACGTTGGTTTCCTCGCCTTCGACCAGGCATGCAACTTAGACGTGGGTGCGATCATTGCAGACTATGCTGTGTCCTTGCTGCCAAATATGCAGACTGGGAAGATGGCCATCCTCCCAGGCCTGTCCAGTCCCAGGGAGAAGAGCGAGCCAGATGGCTGTGCTGCAGCTCGGGGCGTTGCAGAGAGCATCTACACCATCAACAACGGGTCTACCTCCAGTGAGAGTGAGCCTGAACTGGGAGAGGTCCGCGGTCCCTCAGCAAGCACGCCAGGGCCCCCACCCCCCACGCTGCCCGAACCCAGCTACAACATTAACAATAGGATTGCTTCTGAATTAAAACTGAAGTGAATTCCTGCTTTTGTTGGCAGCATTTAAACCAAATCCTACTGCTTCCCTAGTAGTTTTGAATGAATAAAGCCTGGACTAATGTGATTTCATTTGCACAGAAACTAGAAATCCCATCTGGGCACTCGACATTCTTTCTAACGATGATTTAAGCAAATGGCCTAGCTTTGTGGTTTTTACAAAGATAATCTAAAAATGCTCACCAGGAACAACATCCCGACTGATCCATTTGAGGCCGAGGTCTGCTGCAAGCACTTGGATATCCCCACTGATTTTAAGGCACTGACTGTGCTGCTGCTTCTAGCTTTTAGCAATAGAGCCCATTAACTCGGAAAAGCTCCTGGCAATAGTTTACTAAAAGCAACCACCGATGGAGGCGTGTGCAATAGAGGTGGAATGTGGCTTCAGTTATGTGCTTTTCGTGTGTGTGTGTGTGTGTGTGTGTGTGTGTGTGATGCTTGGAGAATACACAGTTCGAATACTAGTAGACGATTGATCTCTGCTCCCCCTCCATCACCACCTTGACCATATTTCTCTGACACTCAGGATATGGTGTTCCAGGGAGCTTCCTCATTAGCATTTTCAATGAAGCACTTTGTAGAAAGTAAATTCACTGGTTGGCAAATGCCCTGCTCTGTCGCTGGGCCCTTCTACAAATGCTTTGCCACTTCGAATTTACAGACCTGCTTCAACGAACGCCAGCCCCAGCAGCCTCTTGCACCTTTGCTGCCTTTGGCCTCCGCTGGAAATGCAATTGAATGAGCTAGTGGCCACACACTTTATTTCTTAAGCGTGCACTAGAACCAAACACCAGGGACTCTCTCTTCAATGGACGATTTTCACTTGTTACTCCAAAGCCATTGGTTTATATCCTGGAAAGCTACTGGACGATAATCACTTCCCCCCTCCTCTACTGAAACTTCGTGTACTGCTTAGCTGTAGGGGGTTTTCTTGTATGAGTTGGTATGTGGACCTGTTGGGTAGATAGAGCTATTGGAAACACACTCCAATCCCCTTGACATTCTAGTATTATCCAGGTTCCAGAGACCTGGCCTTACCCACCTTTCCGAACTGGGGAGATGCAGGTATCAGGACTTACTCATTGCCTATTTTGGGGGGAGTTGGATAATGTAGACATGACACCGAGTGCTTTTCATTTCAACTCTTCAAGCAGCAGCTGATGAGCCTTCCCTTGAGAGGTCATGGAAAGGGAGTGTTCCACTTCTGCTCTGTGGGGTATGACTGAAAATGGGCAAGGCTACATTTTAACCAAATGCACCAAAACAGGACTCAAGGGTTACCATAATCAGGGTTATTTCCTGGGAGACCATACTCTTAAACTGTGATGTTGCATGTGCCAAGAACACATAGAATTCCTGTTTGGAGTTATCTTTGAAACCATGCAAGGAAGGAGGGCTCGCAACCTATAGTCAGGTCTTGTTTTGTGTGTTTGTTTTTGTTAATCCTCATTTGAGGTTTTGGGTTTTTTTTTCCCCATTGTTTTTTTAGGGAGAGTGGAAGGGAGTGGAAGAGACACACAGAGAAACATTGATGTAGAGAGACACATCAATTGGTTGCCTCCCACACGCACCTTGACTAGGGTTGGGGTTCGAGCCTTCCACCGAGGAACATGCTTTGACCAGAATCGAACCCAAGACCCTTCAATCCCTAGGCTGACGCTGTAACCACTGAGAAAAACCAGCTAAGGCAAGTCTTGTTTTTTACACCACCCCTCCCCAGAGGCAGTCCCATGCTCCATCACCCATTTTATTTACTGGACTTTTCTTCTAATGTTCTTTGGCTGTTAAAAAATAATCATTTCTTGAAAAATAAATCTACCCTTTAAGGACAAAGACTTAACAACATTGAAGAAAGTTTATAAGGAGACAGTTTTCAAAGACAATTCTGGAAATATTCTGAGTAAGGTCAGCTTCACTAGACTACACATACATCTTCCCAAGGTGACTACTAGTACTTTAAAGGCAACAACACCCACTTGAATATGTATAAACTCCTGTACTTACTCTGCCGTAAATGTAAAATGTGTATAAGGTCAAACAATTCCATTTTTTTCACAACATTTAAATAGAAATTGGCTTTTAAAATACTGACTAAAATCAGATTTCACCAAGTACCAGTTGTACAACTGGAAAATCTTTAGCGCCATGTAATGGAGATGTACACTACACAGTTGTAGTTTAAATGCAGTCCCATGTGGGGTGCATGCCCCTAAATTGTAACCTTAGTAATGTGTCCTTTACAGTTGAAAATGGAATACTTCACCTTTATATAGGTAACAACATGTACCTTATGTTTGCCACTCAGGGTAGGTTTAGAAGGATAGTTCTAGGTCTGTTCTCTCTGCAGTTGGCCAGATGCTTTCTTTGTAAACATTGGAACCAAGTGAGTTACGTTTCACTCATTCTCACTGTTTAGTATAAGCCCAGTCTTCCCACTTTATCTAAAGCATGCTAATGGGCCCCATCCTGAGAGAGCAGCTAGAGAGCGCTTCCAGATTTGTCAAAGGAGGCCCATTTTCCAGCGGCTCGTGACGTCTGTAGTCATTGGCATCATTGCCTGGAACTGAGCCCTGTCTGGAAGCAGAGAAAGCTGGATCACAGCCCCCCTCCAGGGTTTCCCAGACTGGCTGTGGACTCAGCCTCAGTCAGGTGGCTAGGCTGGACCACACCTGTCACAGCTGCCCACAGGCCTGCTGGAAGGAACGTGGGGCACAGAGCCAGATCCTGGTTCTGGCTCTCCCCTTAAACAGCTGATTGAATTTGTACAAATCAGGTGGTCTCTGTGCCTCCATTTTTCCATTCTTCAGGTAGGGAGGATACCTGTTCTGTTTAGCTCTTGGGGGTGCTTTGAGGTGGAACTGAGTTCATTAATGGGTATGCATTATGTGGGAGGTGGTAGAAGAACATCTACCACATCTGGTTTTATAACAGTTTCTCCTCACCCCTCCTCTGAGGGAGTTAAGAAAGAAAGAGATCATGAAGTCTGAGCATTAGCACACCGAACAGTGGTAGAGGCCTAAGGAAAAAAAAAGGCAGCTTCTCAGGGGCTTTACAACCTGAGAGGAGTGAGGCTTGCAGTGTATTCAAGTAGCCTTCTGGGTGTGTTGTATATAACCTGAAACTCTTGACTCGTGTATATCAACTGACAGTCTTTCCTATGTAACAAATTGCAGCGTCTGTATGTGGTCTTCCCATTATCTAATAGCATCTTGAAACTGGTCAAAACTTGAATGCCAATAACTCAGTCACTCAGAATATATATGATTCTGCACTTGGGAAAAATGTCTACGCTATCTGTCTGACTGCTGATGGGTGAGGGGTTGCCAGGGTGCAAAAGAAGTGGATGACAAGCTCCTGGTCAGGCTCCCTCCAGGCTCACTGTTCCTAGCTGAGGGCATTCCGTGGCAGTGGGCATGGGGTGAGGAGGGACGGGAAGGGGAAAGGTCTGGGATAGTTGTGTGACATTTCAGTGAGAGAAATAAGAAATTGGGATCATTTGGAATTCTAGTGGGAAGAAGGAAGAAATGGCTCTTCTGTTTTAATGAAAGAATTATGAATATGTCTGAGAAGGGGTAGGGGTCCATTGAAATTATTCTGTAAAAAGATAATAGGATGTATGGGTCCCCATCCCCCTCTGTTGAAAGGGGAGACACATGCCTCATCCCTTTGTTAAGTCCTGATAAATGCTGGTCTTGAGAACACTGAAGGTAAATCAGGGGAGACTGGAGCAGCCAACTGGAGCTTCGAAGATCAAGTGATAGCTGACCCTTGCAGAAGTGAATGGACCAGCATAACCTGTGGGGAGAAGCCCAGAGCCACAGCCCCCTGAGGTGGGTGTAAGGAGATATCGCAGAGAAGGAAGCCAAAGTCAGTAAAACAGGGCACTTCAGCTTAACCCTTTCTTCTGCATTTGGAGGTGAGGCTTCTGTTCCTGTCAGTCTGTGCAGATGTTTGGGGAGAGCCCTGACAGCAGCCATCTTGGTCACTGTCCTTGAAGTTTGTTCCCTTAGACCGGCTGCTGCAGCCTCATAGAAAACCTGGTGCTGTGTTTGGCTGCCTCTGAGATCAAGACGAAGTTTTTACCCGGAAGACCATCCATCTCAGGAATATATTGTTTTAATCCTTCCTTAAAACAGTATCACACTTCCATTCCAGGTCTATGGCTGAACCCTGCAGCTCTCCCTTCTAGAACTCACACCACAGAGTCAAGCCTTTCCATTTCCTTCTCCAGTGTGGTTCCCGTGCTGACCTGAGGCACTATCCTGGGCCTGGTGCTGCAACCCAACCCTGTTTGGTAGCCTTTCTCTGCCATTTCCTGTTCACTGACGCAACACTAAGAAAGTCACCCCGTGAGCCAGATTTGAGGCCACAGGATTAATTGCATTTTGGAGACCAGTGCAGTCCCCATTTTAGAGGGGGGATCTGAACCCCAGAAGCCACGGTCACTTGGCCAGTCAGCAGCGGGGCTGGGTTCCAGGCAGGCGGACTCCTCATCCAGTTTGCATACTTCCAGAGGTGGCTCTGTTCTTCAAGGCGGCTAGCACTTGCTGCCATCCTGGCCCACCTCTGCCCATCCCCTCCTGCTGAGCCTCTGCTGTGGGTCAGAATGGTGTGGGTGTGCCAGCTGAGAAGGACTCTGCGCTGGGATGACGTGTAGGTGAGAGCCCAAGAGGCATATATGAGATTTCCATGGTGCAAGCTGGCTCACGGCCTGCGCCTTCCTTAGACCAGCCAGGGCCATGTAGCCCCACCTCACACCATCAGTGATGGGCTGTGACAGAGAAGGCCCCTGCAAGCCACTGAAGGCTTCTTTGGCACCAGTTTGGCTCTCGGTCCCTCACTGTGAAATGTTTGAAGTCTGTGGAGACCTCGGTGGGCCTCTGCGGAAGTCCAGGGCTTAAAGGTTCCAAACTTCTCCCATCAGGCACATGTGAGGGGAACTCCTGACTGATACACATTTTCTAGTTGCAATCAGCTACAAAGTTAAAGGCTTCTGCCGAAACCGGTTTGGCTCAGTGGATAGAGCGTCGGCCTGCGGACTGAAAGGTCCCAGGTTTGATTCCGGTC